TCTGACAGCTAGTACATTTTCATCAGATATGTTCTCCAGGTAGACTTGTCCTTTCATGAGTGTATTCTCTATACAGATGACTCCATCCATTCTCAGCAAGTGGTTATCCATGACAAAGCTGTAGTAGTTACCAGCGTTCCTTTGATCAGCATCAATAAAGACTATATCAAAGTGCTCATCCTCAGCATGTAATGCCTGAAAAAAAATTATGTTGGAGAAAACACTAATTATTTACCTGAAAATTTAAAGTCTTGCCATTAAAATGTCCTCTATATAAAACCCAAACCAGAGGGAACCCTGTTCTTTTAAGGTAACGTTGCTAGAATTACTTCTGGAGATCCTGGGAGTTTTCCATACCTTGCAAACAATTCTTCAGCAGCACTGGTGCCCAAAACTCTGAACCTCTCAAAGTAAATCAAAATATAAAAGAGGATAGCTCATCCGTCCCAGCTTGTGGTGTTGAGAGTCACAGCAGAACCATCTGCATATCTAGAGTCAAAGGGAATTGATCCGTCAGGGTAAGGGGAAGGACTGGCATCATACCCTGCGGCTGAGGTGCTGCAGTAAGTTATCTCTTCTCAAAAGAATAACTATCAACAAATTGAAGAGTGGCAATTATATCAGTCTTTGGGAAAAAGAGGCATAAGGCTGATCCTGGGAATTGCAAACTAGTGAGTCCCACTTCAGTAGCAGGCAAATGGTTGAAATCCCAATTAATAATAGAATTATAAAGCACATAAAAGAACAGGTCACGATAGAGATAAAGCTGCACAGCTCCTATGAAGGAAAATGATGTTTCTTTAATCTAAAAAAATGCTTTGGATGGCTCAGCAACAGAGAGGATAAAAGAGAACTGGCTGCTATCATCTAATTGGATTTTCAGAAATGTGGCACACCTTCCCTCCAAGCAGGCTGCTGATGATAATGTATAAAAGTGTTGATGGATGACCAGATGGGAGCCTTTACAGCCTTCTCCTGTGGCAGTTAATGCACTCGCTGCCCAAGAGGCTGCTATGGAATATTTCAGATTCCATCTGGGACTATTTAACTGCATCTGTGTGCGTTGCAATGAAACAACGGCTCATCCACCTATCTCGGCAAGCAGAATCGCTTTCAAGTCTTGGCATTTCGAGTGAAAAGAGAAACAATTATGCTTTCCAGAACTCTCTGTTTCTACCACAACTTTTAACAGCACTTCTTGCGTCCAGATTTCCCTTTTGTGTTTGGAGACATTGCGCACAATGAGTGATGAGCGATCCCCTGAGATGTACGAGAGAAAGCATCAATAACAAATGGCAGCAGAATGTGAAAAACCAATTTGTTTTTGGGAGTGATGTTGATGGCTCCCAAACAGATTTCAGGAGCCTTTCTGAAGCAGGGAGTGCATCATTCAGACAAGGAAATAGCGGGAAGTGGATCATTCAAGCCCTGAATGAATCTATTGTGCAAACCGGTGTCATTGTGAGCTTCTTAGTGGTGAAGAAATTAAGCCTGCCTGAGAGCCTGGATAGTCACACTTAACTGCAGATGCTTGATAGCACAGAAGCTCTGCCAAAAGCATTCATGAGTCCACATTCAGGACACCTTTTGATACTACACTATAATGAAAGAAGACCTTAAGGCCAAATATATGCTGGTTTATAATAAATGTAGCAGAAACTGGGACATCTGGTTTCCTAGGATTCATCTTTTCATTTCATGGCCAGTAAGAAAATTTTGCCCTGGTTCCCTCTTAGGCTGTGTTAGGGGAAAGCAGCAGGAACATTTTTGCTACTATGGACGAGCATCTTATATCAGGGTGCAACTCAGGCAGTCTGTTCAATGTAGATACTTCAGAAAAGGTCAGAAGATGAAAGCTGGGAGGAGGAGTCCATCAAGAAGAGAGACTAGAGGTCTCATTCCCCAGAGAGAAGAACCAAAACCAAATTTGAGTAATTATCATGACTTATCGCTACTTTCTGACTTGTAACCTTCCCAGGCAGATGAGGTGGGGGGCAAACATTCAGAAGCAGATGTGGCCATCTCTGAACATATGTTACTACTGCTCCATGGTATGGCTCCCTAATGAAAAAGAATCTCACTTTTATACATTGATTTCATTAGGTCCATATGGAGTTGTGTAGCTCTTTGGATATTAGCTGGACTTCTCATTTCAGCCCTCTTTCTGTACTATCTACCTGCTGAGAGTTTATCTCCTTCTTAGCTATCTTCTGATACAGATAAACCACCTTTTAACTTCACAGATTTCGTCCCAGGAGGGATGTGTTTTATGTGTATCCACCACACGCCTTTTTTGTCCTTGCACTGTGTGTGTGTGCAAGGCCACCACTTGGAAGGCATATCTCTTCTGCCAGTTCATCAAGTCCTGAACAGCCAGCCATGAAGGTCAGTTGGGCACCCTTCATTTTTTCTAGATACCTAGTACCAGAAACCTATATGGAAATGCCTGATTCACTGCCTTGGAGTTCATACTGCATCCCTGCCATCATTTGAGCTTCTTTGTTCCATAGCTTTAAGACAGCTGTTGGGTTTTCCATGTTTAGTTGGAAATGGCTCCAGCCCTATAAAGGCAATCCAAGAAATTCCTTGAACCAGCTTCGCCTCTGGAGCAGCCTCTACACAAAAGGGTAACAGCCCCACGAACAGGAAAGCGCTTCGTTTCCTGGAGCTCCTTGGCTAGCAGAGCACAGGTCACCTGGCCAGGAGGTCACCATGGCCACAGTACCACACTGGAGAGGGTTTCTTCCCTGCCAGGAGGGATTGACCACCCTTGTCCTTCCAGAGCAGACTGGGTCTGGCCCTGCCTGGGACCTCACAGCACGTTGGAAATGCCTTTGTCCTTTGCTAGGAGAGAGGCAGAGCCCAAACATCTCCAACTGTGAGGAAAGCTGAGATCCAGAAGGAAATAATCTGCCTGCAAAATATCCCGCTGAAACTAATTTCCTGAATGTTTACAGTGCAATCCCCGCTCCTTGCTACAGAGGCATCATAGATGGTAACAGATGGCAACAAGAAGTGTCTTAATTCAGAGCAAACTTGGCTAAAATTAATGCTGTTGCTTACAGTGAGTCATTAACTTCCTTTGGGATTAAAAAAGAAAAAAACTTGTGGCACGGCATTGCATAGAGGAGATGCACCAAAAGTGAGCACAAGAAAGGACACAGCAGCACTGTTGACGAATACGGATCAGGGAGAGGACATCCCAAATAAAAACATGAATGAATCTTCTGCCAAAGCTGAGAGAAAACCTGATGGAGTCCTGATCAGAGACAACACTCTCCCATAAGGCACATACAAACTCAATCAGAAAAAAAATGGTTGTCCGGTTCCTTTGATACGGATCATACAATCAGCATATTTGTAATAAAGATGTACTCAAAACTTATTACCTTCCCTATGCCTTGTTCTTGACCTAAATGTAATAGCAATCCATCCTTAGGGTACACAGAATACATGAAAAAGTACAGCTTCCTTTTAAAACACCATTAGAGTATTTTACTGTATGTGGACATACACTCTTGTTACTCCTAAATGCTATTCTATTGAGTACAGTTTATATTCACCGGCAAAGCTAAATCTCTAGGGAAGCTAGAGAGGGAATGCAATTTCTAGTAATAACAGCTCACAACAGTGAATACTATCCACTTATCCCCACAATTTCCAGCTATTTTGGACTCCTTTCTGAATTAACCTTTCATATCAAAAGGAGCAATTCTGCACACTAGAGACTCCGACACAATTTCATGCATAATTTATTCACTCAGTTCAACATTAAACGCAGAGTCCTTGACTTTGTCAAGGTGGATTCTGTTGGCAGACTTCACAAGCAGCAAAACAGGAGAAATGAGATCTGCAGCTCAACCTCTTCACCTATTCTGTCTGGTAAAAGGAGGGAAAAAAGAAAAAAGAAAACCCTGACATGCTTATACAATGCCCTGCAATCAGCAGAATCTGCTGCAAACACGGTGTTATTTTTTGTGTTGCGTTTTCAATTTTTAAACAGAAGGCTCAAAATCACGGATGGGAATAATTTCCTGGTAGTTTGCATTCCCTCCGGACTCAATCCTGCATCCATTGTTCAACCAAAAGTCCACAGGGAATTAAAGGAAGCTCTTTGTGCGGGATCAGGCCTCTTGCTCACAGCTGATGCACAGGAAGACACATTATTCAGGCACAGCATGACACAGTTGAGAATTAAGGAGCTTGTTGGGTGAGGTTTTTACACGCTGGCCCAGCACACGTTGAAGAGGTAGCTAATTCCCACCGAAAGCACCTGTATCAGAGTCTGAACCCAAAGAAAGGCTTCCCCCCCAGTACACATTCCAAAATATTATGCCAATATTACTGAGGTCGTTGGCCACAGAGGCTTGTGCCATGGTGTACGTGAGCTACATGCTTTGGTGGAGACCTAACCTCGCTTGGCAGTGCCTGTCCCTCATGTGTGAGAAAGGTGGATTTTTTCCATCATGCCTTCAGGTACCAAACGAACCCCACTGTGTACCTGAGTTCTGCAGCTCCTCTTTGGTATTTAGCATCCTTTGACAACTCAAAATCCCAGATGTTTTGCAGCTGCCTCTGATCTGGGACAAGAGACATGGAACCTGGCCATCTCTGCCAACGCTGTGCAATAATGCAAAGGATCAGCAAGAGGCTTCAGAAACCCGGGTTCAAGGTGCCGCTGTGGACTGATGTGTCTTTGCACCGCGCTCTGCCCTCTCACGGCCCTGATGAGCTGCAGTTGTACGTGGAAGAGCCAGAGCCACGTGGGTCTCACAAAGGCCAAGTTGCCTGAGGTGTGCGGGCACAGATGCTGCATCCCTGTGGCAAATGCCGCAACATTTGGCAGGTTTCCTTGTAAAGGCCATTGGCAGCAGGTGCGGACGCAGCACTGGACACATCCTGCAGCACGTGGATGGTACTGTCTACCTGAGGCTGGGATGTAACTCTTGAGTGGACTGGTTTTACACCAGAAGTGAGAGTACATCGTATACCTTCTGGCAGTTTGGTCTTTCTGCATCACAGCTTCATGCAGCAGAAAAGGACTTCCCTGCCAAGTAGCGTTATTTATATATCATATGACATTTTTGCGCTTTGAAAGAGCCAGTGCAACGAGGCGAATCCTCTGCTCCCAGGAGCTTGCACCGCTGCAAAGATTCGAGTAGCAGCAGATTAGCAGTAATCCTGCCCTTTCACGCTCAGCTTGGAAGCAAAATTCAGCCATAGTCACCACAGTAAGAGAGCTGCAACAGCCATCTCCGAAGAGCAAGTGGTGGGTGATGGTTTCTACCTTCTAACTTCTGTAGAGGAACAGGAAAGAAACCTGGGGCTGCAGACAATGCAGATAGCAAAGACAATCCTTGTCAGAGCTTGTTCCAGCTCTCCTGAATCTCACCACGCTTTTCAGCATCTCTTACCCAGCTCTGCTCTAGACTGGCCTCCCTGCAGAGGCTGAGGGACAGAAACAGTTCTCCCCCTCCTCCACGAAGCTGAGCTGGGAGAGCTCGGCTGTGCTAGTCCTAGCCTGATCCCAGCCCACAGCTGCCTTGGTGTCCTGCCTTTCCTCATGCCCACGTGGCACTGGAGTAGCCTGTTTGGTCTCCAGCCTAAGCTGGTCTTGCCTATGGGGGAAGAGGCAGTGCACTGTTCACAGCCTGAGCCTCTTTCAGTGCATCCAGGTGTGTTTGCCCCACTCCAGCCGGGCAAACCCCAATGACCCTGAGATACCAGAGCACCAGAGATGCCACCAGAGATGCCACCAAATGTGTCACTTTGTCATTTAGACCTGTAAGACAATCCTGATTGTCCTTATACCAATGACAAAACATCTTCTAGGTTGAGCAAAAATAGTTCAGAGCCCATTGCACAGAACCTGCATAGAGAAGTGCCCCCAGTGCCGGGATCTCTCCCGCCAAACAACTCCGCATCTGCTGCATCTTTGCTCCCATCAGCTCCAAGAGTTATTCAAAGCCCTGAATACCTGCAGAACAGGGGTCAGGACGAGCCTTCGCGTTGCAATCAGAGGATATAAAAATCAATTGCAACGTTCTGTTTTAAGGATTTAATTTTCATGTCTTCGCTCCTTTCTTTAATCTCTGCACAGCATGTACTCTGCCTGCATCTAGATATTTTAATTCAGTCACAGTAAGTCAGTTGCACAGAATGGGCACTAGAGAGCAACAGCAATTCAATTAATTTCACACTCGCTGTGGGGAGCTGGGATTTTAAATGCTGCACATTGCAGGTGATCTGTAACGTTTCGTTTATTCATAATACTTGGCAAAGCTCTTTGTTTCTTTCTTATCAAACTTAGAGGTCATGAAAGCCAGAGGTCAGAACTCTCCTGGCCACTTCATTTTAGAAACAAATATGGCACCTGTTAATGCAAATACAATTGCAATCAAGCTCACACTGACACATCCAGATTGAAAATGGAATCAGACCAAATTGGTTTGCGTTAATAATAAAAAGGCTATGTATTTAATGAACCTGGCATGGGCATCACCTGTTAGGGTGCTGGACGTGCAGCAACATCCCGGAGATCCATAAACTGGAATTAACTGTGAAACTCCTCTAGCTGCTGGCAATCATAAGCTTCTCTCTTTCTTGGGACAAAGTCACTAGTGAGAATGAAACAAATATAGCTAACGCATCTGCACATCTGAAGCTTATCACATTGCTCTGGAAGTGAGAATCTTGGGGTCTAGTGGCCAGCAGTGTTGCCAGTTGGGGAAAACAGGGACAGGTTTGGGGTGACTTACAAACTTCTGCAGGACTTTTCCAGTTCTTGTCACCATTGGGAGCAAGCTGTCCTTCTCAGGGCATGCCCAGCCGGCACAGATACAGTCTTTCAGGTTGTTATGTTTGGTATTAGAGGCCCTGAAACAAAGCCCACCCACATCAGGTAAAACTCTGCCACTGAAGCCTATCAACCTACATTTAGAGCTCGTGATCTCTCTGATCAAAAGGTGCAGTAATTTAGTTAAGAAGAGAAAAAAAATATCTTGTGTGACAGAGCTGTTCCACCATATATCACCGTGAATAAGAAATAACTCCGGCGCAAGAGTGTGTTCACATATTTACAAGCAAACTAGAGTCACCACCCAGCATCTTGTGGGCAGGAAACAGGACCTGCCCGAAAGTCCTTAATCTGCTGTGCACAAGAGCTCCCAAACTTCCCTTCCAACTGACTTTACCTCCAAAGTGTCTGCCGTTGGTCCCACTTGCATGCTTATCTTTTTACCATGTGAAGAACAATCAAATGCTTCTTGGCTGTTCACTCCGAGATACGGCGCTTCTGCACATGCGAAGATTTTGCCGTCATCTGGCAATTCTTCTGCGATATCAAGGATACTGTAACCTTTAAGCTTGCCAATTAATAAAATCTTCCTGGCTCTGATCATATGAACAAACATCCTAAAAATTTGGCCTGTTGAAACAAAAGAATGAAAATTTTAAAAAAGCACCATAAGAAAGACTGTACCATGTTCACAATGAAAATTAGATGTACCTTCGAAGTGACCATAAAAAAAAAAATCTGATCTTAAAACACTTTCAAATAAGCATTTAACAACAGAATCTGACAAAATTTCACCTAAAATGCAGCTAAAAGACAACAGAATAAAGGGACTGGTTTTAAATGTAGAACCTTTATCATCAATGCTGCTATTGTTCAAGTGCTTGTTAAATAGTGCTTGAAATATTGCATATTTTAACATTCCCCCCATATGAAAATGGCTTTAAGATGTCTCCATATTCTTTCTGGAGCCCGGTTAAAAAAAAAATCACTACATTACCTTGCATTTGCTCTTAGAGTCATTATCCCTAGACAGCACCATCATTTAAGAAATTTATCATCAGTGGTGTCCTTCGAACAATGTATTAGTGTAATACATTATAAGAGTACTTCACTGTGGTGATGTATGACTCAAAAGATGGGAACATCTGGGAAGAATGAATCTGGGAATAGATTTAGTGTAATAGGCTTTATATGGGGATACAATCCTGGGTATTGCTACTTGAAAAGGTACAGTGCTCGGCCGCAGGCCACCTCCACCGCAAAAGCACGTAAACCCCTATCAGACACCACCAAACCCAAACCAACAGGATTTTTCCCTTCCTTCCCCTTCCAGTGAGGACAATGATCTCTTTGTGGCTCACTAAGGGATGGAGCTGGCACTGTGAATCAAAGCACTCACGAGTACGTGCGTGGGCATGGGTGAGTGGGCACAAAGGCAGAGGAGTGGGGGACAGAGAAAATTCATGCAAAAGGGAGATCAAAGCCTACTGGAAATTCTCATCTTTCTTTTTAAGTACTTTTCCACAATTTCTGAGCAACTCCGTGGCATTCTTCCTTTCCCCACTCAAGACAGAGTAGAGGATAATGAACTTCAGTGATAACCTTCACACCAATCTGGTGCAATTTTATCCTCTTGGTTGACCAACTTGCCATTCAAAGAGCCAGAGGCGCGTTCTTCCTGCAGCCTAATTTTGGTTTCAGTTCCTCCAGTGTCCCCTTGGCCATGGTCAGGTGAAGTGTTTCTGGAAAAAGCAAGAAATTTCAACACTACGGTAACAACCAAAATCTGAGTATCCTGCATTAAAAAAAAAAACGAGCAACCAAGAGGGAACTCCTGGAAAAGGTCAATCTGTGCATGAGCATGAAAAATCATCCCAGAAGCATTACAAATATCCCTTAAAAAATGCCTAAGAGACCTGGCTTGGCAACAGGCCCATCTCAGCCCAGCCATAGGGGCTTAGGGAGAAGGGGTTGTGGGACTGAAGGTTCAACGCAAATCTTTCCCATTTCCAGTTGGTCCCAGACGGGTGTCTATCTGCTGGCTCTAGCTACCCTGGACAGGATTTGTTCAGCTTGGGGGTTGAAGGTTTGGTTTTTTTAGTTGAAGAAAGGATTCATTGCAGAATAGGGGAAAAGATGTAAAATCTAAAATTTTTTGCAAGATGGGAAAAATGGTTTTCCTCATGAACTGCTGAGAAAAGTCGGGTATCTCCAGATGCGATTACACAGAAGCCAGGCCTGTGACAACATCTCTGGATGAAGTAAGATTCCACTTATTACAAAGAGAAGGGAATAGATGACTGGAAGAAGTCCATAGCCTCCAGACAGATTAGATTACCCTGAAAAAAAGTAACCACCAGAAATGGTTGGTGATACTTCTGCAGGCCAGAATTTAGAGCCATTTCAGCCTTTATTTTTTTTCCCCCAACTCGTCCCACCACTCCTCAGTAAAATGAGAAAGAATTCATAACCCGTGTCAGCCACACTCAGATAATCCAAGACTTAAAGAGTAGAACATTTCATATAACCTCTTTTCTGCCCCTCACAAATGCTTTAACAACTTTAATAAGATAATGTATAGCTATTATCGTACAGCAAGCGTAAGTCAAACAACTATCAGCTATTATTTCAGCAACAGAACGAACGCTCAGCGTTCCTGTAATCCACAGCCTGGAACAGTTTACACATTGTCAATTTTAGACAGAACTGGCTTTTTCCGCATATCAAAATGTACGCTGATAAATGGGAATTGTTTAGCAGCCCCCACATGGCTGGGTAATATACTGTAGCTCAAAAAAGAATAATGAGAGTATCAGTTGGACTTCTGAATTAATGATACCTTAAATTAGTTTAATTAATTAGTTTAGTTACTAGAGTAATTTAGTTAGCAGATTAATTAATGTTTGTTGAGCGCTCGGAGATAAAAGCTGCATATAAAGGCTGTTATTATAGGGTGGATCCAGAGGTGCAGGTTTTCTTCATTCTTTATTTATCCCAGCACCAGTTTGATCCAGGGGCTGGAACGAGCCTTTCAGCGGGCGCCGTGTGGAGCCTGGCGTGCTGACTTCTCACGGGATACGATCCAACACAGACATTGCCACAGTCAATAGTCGATTGGCAGAATGTCTTCCAAATTTTAGAGCTGGGACTTTTTGTTCTCACCTCCTCTCCTCACGGCCATAGGCAGACACAGACATGCATGTCTGTACACATTTTGCTGTATATCTGGGTGCAGTTAACTCTCTTCTTCCTTCCACTGTCCCCCACGTTCATATTCTGAACAGAAAATCTAAGAACATATTTATACAATCACAGGAAAAAAGCATAAGGCTACAAAGGAGTATCCATACCTCTTCGAAGCTGCCATTGCATCCATGTAAGGGTCTAGTCCAAGAGCAATATCAAGAGCTTTTTGTAAGTAATTCTTGAGCTGTTCAGGAACACGAGAGTCATTGAGGGCTATTTCTTTGGCTTTGAGAAGGTTCTCAGCAATGAGGCCAGCTGGGCTTTCTGAAATAGAAAATAAAAGGAAGAGAACAATGATTTTGTAACTGCTCAAATCAGCAGAAGAAGAATTTAACCCGCAAAAAAACCCAAACAACCAAATGCTTTTTTTCACATACGAAATACAGGTTTTGGAAGGAATATGAAAACAATCATGGAAATCTTCTCAAACTGCAAAAATATTCTACTTCTAATTCATTTTTGTCTCCTGCATTCTCCCCTTTTTCCCCTAGTCCCGATCCTTTTCTGAGAAGAAAAGGATGAGGATATTTCAGAAACATGAACTTTTACTTTTGAAGCTCTGAGATGGACACTGAACGCTGAACAACTGCATACTCCTCTAGGTAACTTCTTCCTTGGAGAAAACAGAGCGCTTCTCAAATTCCTATTGCAAAACCAGGCAGATCTTCTCAGGCCAGGACACGCAGGCACTGGGTCTAGCTTGGTAAAAAGGAGGATCTCCACCACCTGCGCGCCGATGGGGTGCACGAGTACCCCCAACACGTGCCTATGCCATGCGGACTGCTGTGCACAGAGTCTGCAGAGCGCCCCATGACGCCCATGTCTAAAATACAATTACACCTGTCCCAATGCAGCCAAACTGACAAATACTCAAATAAAAATTATTGTGCCAAATCCGTGATGGCATAAAATCAAAGATACTCTTCAACTAATGATTTTTAAGCAGGTGATGTAGCAATCAACCTGGCCAATCCCCTAACCCTTCTTCTGCCTACAACCTGCCGCAACAGCTCGCGGTGGTGATGCACTACCCTGAACCCTCTGTCTCTCAGGTCACAAAAACTAACTATGCTTGAACCCATCAGCACTGCATGGCAAATCTCCCAGCATCTTTTCACAAGCCAGGCCCTGCCAAAAGCTGATTCTTCAGGTGGAGAGAGAGAAACAGTTATGCACAACACAACGTCATGTCAGCAATTCAAAGGCTTCAAAAACATCTCTAGGATCAAGAGAGCCTGTCCTGGGGAAAAGCAATGTTGCCCATGGCACCATAATTGCCCTGAAACCCCAGAAAACCCGTATCACCACTTGGCAGCAATGCAACGATGCGCCCTGGTGAGCTATGGCCCCACAGAGTGAGACATGGTTCTGAGAAACTCCCCCACTCAAGTGTAAGAGCACGTGCTGGGTTATGAAAGCACCAGCGAGAACAGATTTCAGAGACACGGGGCAAGCAGGCTGTGAGTATCACTGGGGTGGAGCAGATTGCCCCTGGCAGGATTTTATTCCTTATGATAGAAAAGCTACAGACAACTAAGTGAAGCGGGTGAAAAGAGGACATGTTTCCTCTGGAGGACTGGCCTGGACCAGCCCAGGAGACGTGGGGCAAAGCCCTGTCCATGTGGAACCATTGTTGCTGCAAGCACCATGTCCCCATCCCAGGACGGGTTTCTGGTGGGCTCTTGGACACCATAGAAGGCATCCAGCCATGGTCTGCTGGCAGAGCTCTGGTATGAAGCCGCTGAGGACATCAAAGCACCACCTCATGTAGCCCACTGTTGAGAAAGACTGTATGAGGGCAAATGCAACAGCATATTTTAGGAGTAGCTTTTAATCAGACCTTTAAAGGACCAGACTGCAAAGTGGAGATACAGATATGCCTCTGACTTATCTGTTCTCCATTTCTTTCCCATCTACTTAAAATGCCACCATGGATATATTCCCCACACCCTTGGTCTTATGGGTGTCCTAATCCAGCACTGGTGACGGTCTGGTGTCAGCTTCTAGCCAAGAGGTAGCATGACAGGAGGGTGTTCAGTTTTTTAATGTCTTCTCTGTCTGAACATTTCAAGGGATAAACCCCAGATGGATACACTGAGTGACTACATATCCTTAGCACAGGATGTGAGAATAGTCAAGTTTCCTCATTATGCATATGACCTCTTTGAATGTCCCTTTCTACACCCCACCCCACCCCCAGCACACCAAGATGAATGGAGGTACAGCAGATGATCCCATCACCAGAAGAGCACCAGGGCTTCCAGTTGCTGGGGACCGCTCCTTCCCTTGGTACCAAGGGCACCACCTGAATAAACTCATGTCTTTGGGAATGGGGAAAGTTCTAAATCTCCCTAAAGATTTGCTTCTCAGAGCAACATTTCTCAGCTTTCTGTAGCTACTAAGATGACAACTCTGTTGTTTTTTTGAGACAACTTCACTGAATTTCATTATCCAACTTACAATAAAAATATGAAAGCAGACAAGAAACATAAAATACATGTTCATTTTGCATGGGAACTGCCATATTCTGAAGTCATCTAAACAGCATCATGCCGGTGCAGTAACCCAACCTGATGTACAAGGAAGGTAGATTTAGGTGAGCTACAGCAGCCTTTGATTTACATCTCTTGCCCATCTCTTGCCATAGGGGTGGCTTATATCTCTTTCAGCATTTCTATAATTAATTGCAAGTGCAGGAATAAGCACCCCCTTCCCACACCACGTTTGTTGACTTCAGCAAATCCCTCAGCCGAGCTACATGTTGCGTGAAGACACATTGTCATTGTGCAGAGTTTTCACCACCGCATGAGCGAGCATCTCTGGGCTCCCGCCGTACGGCTGCAGGACGCTGGAGGTCAGGATCTGCTCGTCCTCCCTGCCAAGCACTCTGAGGCTTTTTGTTAATTTAGAGGAAAAAAACATGTTCATAATCCATGTCGGATTTTAGTAATCATCATGTTATGCCTCTGGATGAGTAACAGACAAGGATCCCCTGTCACTCAAGGAGGAGGAAAACAAGATTCACCTCCAGCTGTTTTGTAACCTGTGTTATAACACCAACTGCAAGAGCCAAGAAGTGCTACCGGGGAGAGGGAGCATGTGGTGCGCGCCAGATCAACTCTGTATCTGAGGTTATACAATCTTTTCAGGAAGCGCTGCGTTATTTTATTATTTTTTTTTTTTACAGCCTGATGATGCTTTGGGCCAACAGCAGAGGTCAGAATTGCCTTTATTTATGCAAGCACCCGACAAGTCCGAGCAAAGCTCAGGGCTGGCTGCAGGGCTTGGCCAGGCTGTGCTCAAGGCTCTGAGCACTAAGGTGAGCGAAAATTTATGTAACTACTTTTTTTTTTTTTTTTTTTCCTGTGTTACTCCAGGAAAAGTGCTTCATTTTTGCTGCACAGTTTTGCACAACAACAGCAAAGCTGCTGGACCTTATTAAGCGCTGAAGTAGATTGCCTGGTTGCCTCCCCACGCTCGCTCGGCTCACAGACATCTCTTACCCTTTCCCATCTGATTGTGCATCATCTTTTTCATGCATACAAGGCGCGGGGGGGGGGAAAAAAAATAGAGCTCAGATGGAAAATGCTGCCAGGGCAAAGCAGAGGAGTTCAAACCCTACCACGGAAGTGGAGGAAAGGGCTTCTTTAAGCTTCCAGCAGCTTCATAAAAAAGATAAGGTGGCAGTTCTTAGAATGGACCACAGTTGCCAGCAGGATGGTTTCGAGAAGCTTCCTAGGAAGATGCTGAGGGCAGTCAGGCTGTTTTACAACTAAGCTGAATAATAGACTACAGCTTCTACTTTTTCTAAAATCAGGCACTTTTGGTTCATTCTAAAGTCAGGAGTCAGGATTGCAGGTGGGGGCAAGGTGGTATGTGGAGGACATTAGCAGCCCCTGAGCAGGCAGGCGCCATGAAGGGACACGGTGCTCCAGAAGCGAAATTAAACTCTGCATCTTGGGCTTAGACGGCACTTCTTGGGTGGGGGGAACTCAGCCAGGAAAAGGGGCGATGCCCTACTGTTCGCAGAGGGCTGCCCAGGAGAAGGCATGGAGACAAGCGCATAAGAAGGCAGTCTGGATTCAGCAAAAACGAAGCAAAGATGCCACATCCAAAGATGTGGGACCAGATCTTTGGTCCCCGTTTTTGGCCTATCCTCATTTCACCTTCCAGCCTCTAGTTCTATTTTGCAGCCCCAGCAATGACTTCTAGAAGAGCTCCCCTTTCCCGCCAGGGCGGAGCATTGAACCTAGTCCACCCAAACACCATGCTGCCAGACGGCTCAGCGCTTGGGTTCCAAGCACTTTGGCAGGACCTGCTCCGTGCTAAACACTTGGAAATCCAGTCTGATAAAATCTTCCCAAACACTTCCAGCCATCATATTCCCCAGGGCACCTCAGGCATTGATAACAACTTATCACAACACTCACCACTTCGTCGTAGTGTGTAAATACACCTCAGCTGTTGTATTTTACCAGGCAATCCTGCTTATGGAATCCACAATGCAATGCTCAAGCTATTTCCTTACCCCACCAAAACCCTGCACACAAAACCACGCTTGACCCAAAGACATGACCCTCAGCTGTGATATATGCCCACCGTATGGATGGAGCTGTAGCAGAGTGAAGCAGGAGTGTGCTTGTGGCACATCTGGGGCTGCTTGGTGGCTCCAAACCCACCACCCATGAGCCCAGGCAGGGCTGTGCGCTGGGGCACAGGCATGTCATAGCCCACGTGGGGCCAAGAGCGGGCTTGCAGCATGGGCCAAACCCAACTGCCTGGCCATTAAACATTGCAGGGGGTACTGAGCAGCTCTTAGCCGATGCTTAGCCGCAGCATCGGTAGTGCCAGAGCCTGCAGCAAGGTCAGCATCCATGGCATGGGGAGAGGTAGTGGCTCAGGTGTGGAGCGGGAGCACCAGGAAGAAGAAGGGAGGAAGCGGATGAGGTGGGGATGCTGCCACTCACGGCAGGAGCCAAAGTGTAACATTCTGCCTGAACTTCAGGTGAAGGTGAGGAGAATATACACCAGCCAACGTGTTTTCTACAGGCTCTAGTAGAAAGTAGAAAAGCCGGCTGCTCCCGAGCACTCCTCTGCTTGCATTAGGGAGGCTCTGGAGTCACTGGCAGAGAGTATGCGAAGCATACATTTAATTTCATACGTAATAAAGGATGCTGTGTGCAGCAGGGGTAAGTGCTACCCACTGATAGTCGGATCCAAAGCCCAAGGCAGTCAAGGGGAGTCTTTCAATAGCTTCAATGGGCTTTAGATCAGGCTGCAAGAGAACAAAGTCTCTGCCTTCAGAGAAGCCTGGATTCCCACACTCAGCTGTTGATTTTAGAAAACGGCCAAAAAAAGGCAGCAAATATCTCGCTGTGTGTGCCACGCCAGGCACACGTGACGATCACAGAAAGCACCGAGGCAAGGTTAAAGCAACAGGAAAAATATTTATAAAACAAGCATCCCAAGCCATCAGAAATTAGTCACAGCCAAAGCTTTGAGTGTCCACCTTCCCATCCATCCCTTTCTCCTGACAGCGTCCTCCTCCCTCTACTTCAGGTTCTTCAGACCCACCTCCCCTGCTCAACCTCAAACTCCTCTCCCCCATAAACTCTTCTTCTGCTCCCTTCTGCCAAGCCGCAGCGCCTGTAGGTCACATCTCTGCGGGGCAGTGGGGGACCCAGGACTGGGACATCACACGGTGTCCCCTCCTGTCACACCATCTCTCCTGGAGCTCCCCACCCCACATGGGGAGGTTACCTGTAGGATTATGCATGTTGCTTCTTGTCCCCCGGCCTCAGAGGATGCTGCT